TAGAAGCGTCCATCTACCTTAATGCTGCATTTGCTGTTTTACTGCCAGTCTTTGCCGTTGCTGTACTTAACATCTCTCTTGTGAAACTACTAAAAAAAAGGAATACACAGGTACGGTAATTTTAACTTAATATAGTGTAGCGCAAATATTTTGATGTGTTTAGGAGCTGCTTGTGCATTCAGTCAATACGAATCCTTCAGCAATGCAGGATCAGGAGCGGAAAATGACTCATACAGTTCTTGCAATCATCACGTGTTTCTCTTTGACTCAAGGGCCATCGGCAATCGTCTATTTGTTTCAAAAACTCTATCGCTCAAAGTAAGAACTTAACAGTATAGATTGTATTGCAAACGTTAACCAAATGAATAGCAGGTAGCAAAATCTGAATCGAAAAGCTTGGAAAATATAACTCTAAAAGAAATACTCTCTTCTTCCAATTGAGAGTTAGATTTTCCATTTTAGTGGCCTCCAAATCGCTTCAGTAGTGGCAAATCAGCTCGTCCTTACTGGCAAAATGCTCAATGTGGTGTTATTCTGCATGACCTCGTCTACATTCCGACGAAAACTTCTTCAAATCTGTAGACGATGGATCTATACCGCCCTCTATTGTGATCGTAAAGGTGGAAACAGGTATGAAAAGGGTCAGTACACTAATTGCTCTAAGTGCCCTTCCCTATCGCTTTCTAACTGCTATGCTTTACGAAGTTTACGATAATAGGAAGTTTTTAGTCGTTTTAGGTACCGTTTTTCACGCTCTCAGTCGAAATCCTTGGTGACACAGAAGACGTCCTTAGTTTACTCACCAAGTGCAAAATGTCTCGGCTCATCGGTTGTATCGGAAATGTACCCGAAAAGACCAACAACTGCTGACAACAGTTCTCCAAAGACAAGCAATGAAGAAACCGTTTAATGAGGAAGAGAAAATTAACAGAACGATTTTCTATGCTTATTTGTTCCTTTTTATTTTTCATTCTTTCACGGGTTTGTTGTAAATCATCATACGTCTTCTAGTCATAGGAAAAAACAATCCGCTTTCTTTGATCTGTCATTAACCAAATCTTTATTAATCAGCAATCAATATGTACATTTTTCATAGATTCTTATTTTTGTACAATGATAGGGCACACTTATATTTAAAGGACATCACGTCATGTACAAGGACACAATCTTGATTCGCCCAGTAGTATCACATTGTTTGTGCTATGATTTTGATGATACTATTAACAGACGTTTCTCACCATAATGGATTACAATAAATAAATTCGAAAAAAAACTACAAACATACCAGTAGGTTATTAGTTTTTGTACACACTGAAATATATTGATCATCAACTTCTGATTAAAATTGTCGCACATGCTTACAAGGTAACCGTCCAAGGTGTGTAAGTTCCGCTTTCTGGTAGAGGTGGTATCTGAAGATGGTAAAAAAATTTTTTTGTTTGCTCGGACCTTCCCGTACAATTAAGACTAAACTTTGACCCTTCAATATTTCTAGTACGGTTTGAAGAT